GAAGAACCCGTCCAGAGGACCTGTACAATTTTTTTCTTTTTGATTTTTTACCTGGATTACTGAGATGCATCAGGACTATCTGACAGAAAGTTATCCCAGCCAGAAACTGAAATCTTTGTAGGGGAACTGAACTTTATTGTGACACCAAGATCAATGCCTCTGGTTGAGATGATYACAGCCACAGAATCAGCCATTAGCAACAATAAAATCCCAGAACTTGAAGCAGAACAACATAGGAAAAAAAGTTTCAGCCTGTCTCAGCAATGCCAAACCACCACCTTCCAATATCAGTAGAGAAGAGAGAGACGCTCTCACTACCCTCAGCAAGGACAAGAACATCATTATCCTCCCAGCAGACAAAGGAAGGTGCAGTGATTTTGAACCAGAAAGACTACCATGAGAAGGTTATGACACTCCTTAGTGACACGACCACATACGAGCCGCTGAAAAGAGATCCAGGAAGTGATTACARGAAGAAGCTGATAAGTGTGCCTGAAAAGTTTAGAGCAGGACAAGGCTATTGACTATATTCTGTATCACACACTGTACCCAGGTGAGGCCACTCCTAGTCTGTAGGGTTTACCCAAAATTCAAAATCATAATGTATCAGTAAGACCCTCTGTTAGCATGATTAACTCTGTCACTTACAATGTTTCCAAATATTTGGCATTAGCACTCAGTCATTTAGTTGGCAGCTCAGAACATCACATACAGAACACCATGGGCTTTGTGGGCAAGATGAGGGATGTCATCATTAAGATGGATGAAACTCTGGTCTCTTTTGATGTCACATCACTCTTTATGTGCGTTCCCATTGATGAGGTGCTGGATGTGGTCTGTGTAAGAATAAAATCAGACACCACTCTTAGCAGCAGAACCACTCTTTCCACAATGCAACTGTGCTAACTCCTGAAACTGTGYCTGGAATCAAGCTACTGKTTATTTATAGGTGGAAATATGGGTGTGCTACGGGCTCCCCAGTTTCTCCCATCTTTGCAAACCTGTACATGGAGGAAGTGGAAAACAGAGCTTTGATTTTTTTTTACAGGGACACTACTGAGCAAATGGTTCAAGTATGTTGATGACGCTTATGTTAAAATTATATCCCAGCAAGATGAACCTTTCATTGATCACATGAATTCTGTGGAGAGGATTTTTTTTTAAATGGCAGGTCGGCTTTCCTGGACTGTGACGTCTCAGTCTCTGATGTAGGATGGTTGGAAACTGATGTATACTGCAAACCCACCCACACAGACCAGTACTTGTGGTTTGACTCACATCATCTGCTGGAGTCTGTACCACAGCAGAGCAGACAGTGTCCCTACAAACTCAGTTGCCAGGGAAAATGAGAAATCACAACCAAGACAGGCCCTGGAGCAGTGCATTTATCCTAACTGGGATTACCTGAAAGCAGACAAGAAACCTTAACAGATCTCCAGCCATCCACCGGGGTAGAATGAAGACCCCAACTCAGACCAGTGGTCATTCTGTATGCTGCTGGTGTTTCAGAGAAACTGAGATGTTTATTCTCAAAACATAATGTCCCAGTGGCTCTCAAACCCCAAAACACATTATGGCAAAGACTGGTTACCCCAAAGATCCAGTTCCCTGACACCAAGAAACAGCCCTCTGTGAACAATAGGGATAATCAGGGCCCTTACAGTTGATAGTTAGGCTGATGGTCCTTTTTTTAGATGTGAACACCAGTTTAGATTGTCGTCATTAAACTTGTTTGTCCACCATGTGTAGGCACTGCTTATAAGGCTGAGTTATTCTCACACTGAAGACATGACTTGGAGGAGAGATTAAACATTTTTCAACAAAGAACCCGTCCAGAGGACCTAGTCCTCATCCTCCAGCTGTTTTTATTTTTAAGAGAGACACACACATGCTGGCATTTACTGTGTGCCTCTCGTATCACATTAGATTGAATCCACTGCTGTAAGGCTGGGYGGCAAGATAGGACCCAAGGACACAAGCTTGGCTTGAGAAATCAATACRAAAGACTTTATTAAAGGGGCAATATCATGTAAAATCAATGTTTTTGAGTTTTATATCATGTTATAATGTTATACTCTAAAAGAAATTCCCAAAGCCTTGATTTGAATTCATGCATGTTTGAGAAATCCTGCAGTGTTTTTATGAAGCCATGCTGAGGAGCAAAATGACAGGTGGGGACCAGAAATGCCTTTTGATACCAGAAACACCTCTGGAACGTGTATTTAAGCTGAACTTCCTCATGGCAGAGCCCACCCCCTCCCCCCACACCCCGCCCATGACTCCTGCAGGCTCTTGGGTGAAACTGAAGCGGAAGGTGGTTCTTAAAGCGACAGAGGCCAATTTTAAGGCGTTTAGAAGAGGAAGTGAACAACTAAAGGTGACATAGACACTTTCTTATGGTACAGCATATAAATATATGCCTGAGAAACACATAATATTGCCCCTTTAAGCAGCACGATGGGTCAGTGGTTAGCACCGACGCCTCACAGCAAGAAGGTCCTGGGTTTGATCCCCGGTTCAGACCTGGGGTCTTTCTGTGTGGAGTTTGCATGTTCTCGTGCTTGCGTGGGTTTTCTCCGGTAGAACATGTAGAATAGGTTGCCTTCAGGCCCAGGCCTCCCTTGAAAAAGAGAGCTGCGATCTCAGTGGGATTTGCCTGGTTAAATAACGGTAAATAAATAAATTAAATAAAGAAATTAAACAAAAAAAAAACTGATGTGGCGGCAAAAGAAAATACTTAACAGGCGACAAAGGAAAAAAACACCACAGCTGAAACAAACAATAAATTGACAAGGAAGTGGTGATGGAGGACTGGTGAAATAGAGCAGAGGAGAGTGGAAAATGGAAAACATCAGAGTGATTTCTAAACAGGGACAGGTGTGAGAAGAGGGAGAGAGAGCAGGAGAAGCACAGAGACTGACTTAGAGAGGAATGACAGAGTGAGAGAAAGACCACGAGAGGTATGTAAACAACAAACTACAGAACACAGACTGACAACTGCAGCTGTGTCATCTCGCTTTTAGATCTTTTCAGTAAGATCAACAGTCATACAACATCAGACCACAGAGCCTGTGTTTCTGCATGATTTTTTCCTATTTAAACAAATGTGATTATTTAGACTGTGACACTTATCAGTCCTCTTCTTCTGTGGCTTTGATCAGAGGAAGGCTATGTTGGAGAATTTGTCAAACACAGTGCTTGTCAGACAGTGTACAGAACAAACAAACATAGGAGAAAAATAAATCCACAATGGGTCAGTTGAGTTACAACAAAGTTGGACGTGAAGACCTGAGTCACTGTAGTGCAAGCAAAATAAAGAAAAAWATAAAAATTACCTGGAGTTGTCCACAATGTACTGAACTATCTTATCTAGAACTTTCTCAAAGAGAGCTGTCCGGACCCAGATGTGTTTGATGGCTTGGGCAGAGAGGGGCTGAGGGGAACGACTGGTGGTGGAGGAGCCCTGCCTCCTCAGATGCTCCTGGCCCACACTCTGAGCTCTCCTGAAAGACACAGAGCACAGGTCACTGCTACCAACAACTCCTACCAAAGAGAGTGGGGTACGGCATGCACGATGTTTTGAATTTTGTTAATTTTTTTAACATATCTCTTAATAGAATTTTGAACATTTAAAATCATTTATTAAAAGCAACCTTAATTAAAAGAGAGAGACACTGGACATGTGCTGACAGTGAAAGACTGCTCCGCTAACAAGCACCACAAACTTTAGAGCTCCTACCAAACCATCTTCCTCCGTACACCTGCTCCTGTTTTCATGGGACAGGGTGAGGATAGATGTAGGGTAACGTATTGTATCATTTTCTGCTTTGCTGCTACTGGTGCTCGACAATTTGTTTGTTTGGTGAATTTCTTCAACTCACTGGATTATCTACATTTGCACGGTTCTACTTCTAGTTCTAAATCACCCTTGATATAGTTTGTTATTATTGGAACTGTGCTTAAAACATCTTTTACTTTTCAACACTTGGTTTTATTTGTGAATTTCAGGATCTTGTAGATCTCGCTAACGTTTGCTTAGCATCGTGGATACTTCTTCTATGACCTCATCTTTCCTCACTTGCTCCATCTGTAAGATGTTTAGTTCCTCCCCTGCCTCCTTTGGTGATGGCAACACATGTATTAAATGTGGACTAATGGCAGCTTTAGAGGTGAGGCTGTCTTTATTAGAAGCTTGGCTTTAAGCTGTTGAGAATCCAACAGCTAGCCAGGCTAGCACTGAGCCATTGAGAGAAGCCTCTCCTGTAAGCGGTCCCTCGGCAGATCCCATGAGGCCACCACCCCGAGCTAGCTGGGTGACGGCCCGGAAAAAGCACAGTGCTAAATCTAAACCTCCTGACCATCAACCCGTTGATATTTCTAATCTCTTCTCCCCACCCAGCGACACTCCGGTCGAGAAACAGACCCTGGTTATTGGCAGTTCCATAGTCCGAAACGTGGATTTAGGGACTCCATCAACCATGATTAGATGCATTCCAGGAGACAGAGTGGGTGACCTGGAATCCTACTTGAAACTACTGGCTAATGGTAATGGTAAATGGTAAATGGTAAATGGTACTGAACTACCGTAAGATTGTGATTCACGTTGGTGGTAATAACACCTGGTTACGCCAGTCTGAGGTTACTAAAATTAACGTTGCTTCGGTCTGTAACTTTGCACAGACCATGTTGGACTCTGTAGTTTTCTCTGGCCCCCTCCCTAACCTGACCAGTGATGACATGTTTAGTCCCATGTCTTCATTTAACCACTGGGCATCCAAGTGGTGTTCTGAAAACAACTTCAGCTACGTGGATAACTGGAGTTCTTTCTGGGGGAAACCTGGTCTGATGCAGAGAGATGTCATATCCATCCACCCTGACTGGAGCTGCTCTCCTCTCTAAGGATCCAGCTGACTTTGTTGACCACAGAACTTATTGACAATCCAGGGTCCAGACTAGGA